AGATGAGTGTAGAAGAATTCTTGTACAAGGACAGATCACATCAACACGGACACACGAACGGAATTCTACGTCAGGTCGATAAGCATGATTCTTATCTGACGCTTTCAGAAGAAATTAATTATCATTAGCTGACGCTTTCAGAAGAAATTAATTCGAGGTTATCAAAATAGTGCCGTTTGTAACGTTATCCCCCTCCAAATTCTTTTCTCTTTCAATCATATATTCATATGTATAATATGTATTATATCTCTATCATTCCTTGCTTTTCTGTGCAACATCTGTATTACTAAATCGCTACGTTGTTCCACTGCTGAATAATGGTATTCTATCAGTAAAAAGTTCCATTCAATCAAAAACTTAACTAACATGTCAGTCTAAAAGAAGTACATGGTGCCGTAATTTCACACTGTTTAGCGTTTTGGCCATAGGTTACTTTTCAGGTTTTCCTTGTAAGGTGCAAGAAGCCTCGACGAATTAATGGAGCAGAGATGTTTATAAGACCGGGTTGTGCACAATGGAGAAAAACTGTCCCTCTGTCAGAATCTGCTACTACATAAGCTCGTGCTGCGCCCAACTAAAATATATCAATGATATGGGTACATCAGTGATAAAACACATATTGATAGATCTCCCAGATGCAGCAAGAAGACGCAATAAAACAAGTGCAGATGTCAAATATCTAAAAATTTGCTCTTTCCCCGTGACTGTAACACCTTCCGTTACTTCAACCCCTTGTGTTGAGGCTGAAAAACTTACGTGCCGTAAAACAAACTAAAAAGCAGTGTGCTTTCGCGCATTCTACTCTGGTTTTGAAATTTCTCTGCTGAAGTTTCTATCAGCTATTAGATTATGACCTCATGACATTTTCGCGGATTGTTTCGAAGGCCAAACGATTTGGCACCAGTCAAGTTGACATTCGGGTTGCAAATTCAGCAAGAGAGTCCGTGCCATGAAAATATCCTGAAAAGAACTGCACATTCATTAAATGTTGAATTTTCCAAAATTTTGCCACGAAGCGCGCGTACAAGTTTCCAACAAGAATAAACTGCATTTGGAAATGAATCATGCTTTCTTTTGCGCGTGTTCCATGAAATTATCGAACTCTCGATTGTAACTGTGTGACGTCATTTCAGCTACATTTTGCTGTTTAACCTGTATCAAACCGAAATGACGATGGCGAAAACAACACCAATTGTATTTCGTGTTATTGCTCTGCAATTTGTTTCCAGTTGCATCTTTCCATGTCATTTGTTTTGCATTGGACGTCGCTTGTCGAAACTGTGGCTATATTTGTTCCTTTCATTTTCTTGTAACATTATGCTACGCCAAATATGCTGGTTTCTATTTTTGGTACGGTTTTCGTTTGTATGATAAAAATTGTTCTTTACGCTGCTATGCGAAATCTTAATTTGATGCTTATTCGAACGTTATAAACAATCTCAATTTATAAAGAATACAGAAATTTCGATGATAGAAGACTTTCTGTACCAGATTTTGACTGATCCCATTAGTTTTTATCGGCGTACATGATTCGTCTAAGTGTTGACGAATTATTTTTCCATTCATTGAAAATCATTTAAAAAAGCAAGTTTTATCTACACAGCGAAAACGAAACTATATTAAGACTGATATAAAGTATTATCCAACATTTTTCTTTTGCTACCGTACAGGCACCGATCATAAAGTTTAATCTAACGTATTTTGTTTGTTATAAGCATTACTTTAAACGATATGCATTAGTAAAATGTCACCGGTTGGTGATGTCCACTGTATTCTCAGCTATTCAACACGGAACAGTTGCTACATGGCAATATGCACGATTCTTCTCTCAGTGTATATCAGACGTGCATTTTCATTCGTGTTGCTTGCAGGATGTTCTCTAGGTCAATGTCTGTCGTGTCTCAATTCCCACGTGAGAAGCACATAGGTAGGATAAAATGGTTAATTTTCAATCAGTTTTCCCAGCCTCCTGTTTCTTAATCTTTACATTTACATGAGTAAAATTTCTTACTTGGTTCTGCCGTCGAACATTCATGATATATCGGAGTCAACGCGAGTTCAATCGTCGTTTTAAAAGATTTGTTAGAACGACGATTGCCTTGCGATACAGCCACACTACCCTCCCCAATGAAAGGTACGGACAAATTTTCGCGGAAAGGGTATTCATTTCGCAGTCAAATTATTTGGCAAATTACTAAGTGCATAGCAGCAAATTAAATCTTCCTATTCTAATTTAAGTGAATAGTGTCATTACTGAATCCAGGGCACTCGAACCGAAAAGCTCCTACGACCGCTTCACCTCATGTTGCGCATACGGACGTGTTTTACCAGACGTTGCAGAAAACTTTGACCTTTAGGAATCAAAAAGACACGCTCATTGAAAAGTTTTGCATGCACATGTAATCAAGTGGCGAAGTTTGTCATGTACCTAAGGTTAGCAAAAATATCTTGAACTGACCCTACCATCTAGAATTAAATCATCTCTGCCGGCCTGAATCATCTAGAGGAAAAAGCGAAGAAACTTTTGAACAACGAATCTGAATTTGTATGTTGTTCAACTCCATACATAACAAAGAACCACTCGGATAGCTTAACTCGACCTTAACGGCGGACATGACTTCTGCACGTATATTCTAGCAGAGACACGGTATGCTATAATGCACAATATCTGAAAATTTTCTGACAAGCAACATAAAACATAGCCCAATTGTATATAATAAACAGTAAATCAGATTATTGACTACGACCAATCTTTCAGCCCGTGTCTCAAGGAATTTTGTCAAGGTAAGGAAACTGATTGAGTTCGGAAGTGATGATGTTCGCAGTGGCTGATACGCTTATAGCCAAAACTAAACTTTCGGTCCGTGCTACCGGTTCAAAATTTTTCATATCGTTGGGTGATAATATCCATGAAAGTTGCAAAAAAGCAACAGAAAAGCATGCAGACTAGCAAGCAAAAAATTGACAGCCACCCTTCCTACGCTGTAATGCAAGCCAGTTTATAAATAAATCGCGTTCTCAGCATACCCGAGCAAAGAGATTGAAAGCAAATATCAGGTCTTACCTCAAGAAAGGACATGTGCATTGCGAAGTAATCTACAAAGAAACGCTGTCATTCAAAGCAAGGATTTGACAACCTGTGGTCAAGAAGCGTTATTAGGTGCTTTACGATTATTTAATCAAAGCAAATCAGATATTTTCTTGTTAAAAGATGTTGAGAGAAATTTTGATCCAGTATACGGTGACACTGCTACCCAGTTTACGAAAACCTTATATAGTGCACCAGCTGTTTTATACTAAGAGAAAACTCGCAAGCTAACTGTCAGCACAGTATTTTAATGGAGAATGAAAAGCACAAGATCACATTTGCGCTATAAAATTATGAAAATGTAATTCACGGTCGCTTTGCACACGGCATATGCTTATCAATTTCGAACGGCATTCACCTAAGAAAAAATGAGCAAATAACAGAAAATTTAGCAACTTAAACACTATTACTATATCGTCAATTTTCAAGATCGAACGCACGGTTTCCGTTGCAAGAGAGATTATGCTAGTCGACACCAGGAGCGGCTGCAACACGTTTTCGTTCACCATGTTTGTAACTCGACCCTAAAAACACGCGACATTTGGCAAAACGACATTTGACTGTAGAATTAAAATGCTATGAACTTAATCAGCTAGAAACAGTTCTCGTAACCATAACAAAAACAAAGACCATGGTCTGGCACATAAGAATTTCCAAAAACAAGCAACTGCTAAAGACAAGTTTCCATGAACTGCAGATGGTGAACTGAGACCGTGGTTGCTCTGTAGTCAAAGCATCAGACTCAAAGCGAGAAGCCGGGTTCGAGCTCCAGTTCCGTCACTCTCCTTTTGCCACTCTGTGGGAAGGATACACGAGACTAGACACAGTGCTTGTCACACAGATGTCGATTCTGTCTTTAACAAAATATAGTACTCTCTGCTGACAGCATAGAAACGGCAATCAGCGTCGCATCATAGGCTTCGTGAAATGAAGGACACAACAAATGGCCATAAATCAACAAATTATAAATGAAGCTGACATCCCAACGGTTACACGCTATTCTTTTCTTGATGGCGAAGAGCCAGAATCCTCCATCAAATTTAAATTTAATTATCAATTTTTGCTACATCACAAGCGGCCAACGGAGGTACCAGCAGTCAGATAACTTAAATGTATTAAATAGATAGCATTTTCGCAATAAACTCGTTCGTCACACTGTAAAGAAAAGCAGATACACCTCGAATTCAAGAATCTTAAACTGAACCTGTACTCTGCACAACGAAAACTATCAGTTTCGATGACTGCTTGTTCTTTCAGATCAAGGAGACACAGCATCAGATAATGTCTGCAAAGTTCTCCATCTTCTGCCAGCGTCTGAGCTTCGGC